AAAAAAAAAAACAACGGAGCCGTGGTTGTTTTTTGCTTTCGTCTACCCAATGGCTCCGCTTTCCGAAAACAATAGTTTGTTACTGTTGTCTAACAGTTCCTATATATTCCTCCTTTTTTTGCTTTTCATTCATTTTTTTCCTCTCTGTTTATACCTCTGCTGGTGTTCCTTACACTCCTGCATCTCTTTTCCCATCCTCTCATCTGTCATTCACTAACTTTATCGTCTTTTCAGCAACTCATTGAACATTAGACAAATTGATACTTCCTTTTCATTTAAAGTTTCGTTACAGTTTACCCGAAGAATTGATGGGTCAGTCTACTGTAGTGTATATCCAGTTAGAATTGTTTACTCGTAATTAACGTTTACTTTTCCTCAACAACAGTACAAATATGTCTTGTTAATCACACAAAAATTTTGTGTGCTAAGAAGGAGAAGTGGGGGGGAAAAAAAAAAAAGGAAATTAAACAGATTTTCAAGCTTTACTTGTTGTCTCTACTTTTTCGTCATTACGGTTTTCTTTAGTTCCTTCCAAGTTTCAGTTGGCTTTTTTTTTTTTTCTCATCTATCTGCTGAATGCATTGTTTTTTTTTTTTTTTGCCATATACAAATACACATACCTTTCTTTTAAACCAGAAAATTTTCTATGTTATTGGGTAGTTATCGGATATTTATTTTTATACCAAAAAAAAAACAAAAAAAAAACAACTATAACGTTTATCTACGTGTACTAAACATTAATATAAATATGTATGTATGTATAAATATACATACATATACAATTTTTTACTCATTACCTGTTGGAAAAAAAAAAAAAAAAAACAGAAAGAATTAGTTGTACCGTTTTTCTAGTTTAAACAGCCATTTTGATCAACGACAAAAATTTTTATAGGCATAACGCCTGGTAGCAGTGGAGGCAGTACATACGGTGATTATACTTCTTGTGGATCACCAGAGGTTGATGTGGTTGCATTTACTCCAATGCTACAACAGAGTCCTAACCAGGAAGAGGAGAAGAAGTATTTTTGCCAACGATGTTTAAATCATGGTGAACAACATCCCAGAAAAGGTCATAAACCATTTTGCCAGTAAGTATTTTATGAAACTTCTACTCTGTAGTTAATTTATTGCTCTTGATCTTGCTATTAGTTTTTTTTTGTTTTTGGTTGCATTGGTTATCCACTTGATCTTATTTATTTTTTAGGCAGATAAAATTTTTTGCTGCTTATTTATTTTTTTTTTAATTCTTCTTTACAACAACTTTACAT